CCTAAATTCTATGATTCTATGATCTTTATCCTTTTATTCTCTTTGGCTTCTCTTATTAGTCATTAGAGTGAACGGAAAATGCTACAACCTCTTTGTAATTGTTTTGTCACCTAACATAAATAATTGGAAGCAACACGAGAGCTCTAGATGTTACAGCATGAAAAATATATGTTGTTTTCATTATTAATTTGATTTAATGAATTCAAATACTATTTTATCAGGACTTTTGTGTTACCAAGATGATTCGGGGTCACGATTGCAGTGCCTGTTAATGTCTTGTTAATGTCTGAGAAATGCCTGAGGCAGATGCTGCTAATGAAATCTCTGTGATATCTACACTGTCCCAAGGTACCTGTGCTTGAACAGGCTAAACAAGACGTTTTATCCACACAGACAACCCCTAGGAACAGCAGAACTGCGTGGAAATTACTGATGGAAACAGCCATGGAACTTCCCAGATGATAAGCAGAGGAAAAGGTGTTGATCTCCCCAGACCTGTTTTAAGAGGTTACAATTAATGCATTCAAAGCATAATTAAGAGCCTTTCAGCAACTCCGCAGAGTAATTTAAGTACTAACAAGAGACAAAATGCTCTAGGAATCAATGACACTTAGCTTTGCAGTTTTGTCAGGGTCTGTGCATTGCTCTTGTCCCTGACAGGCAAAACAAGGTCTCTCAGAATGGGAACTGTTAGGGTATAACTACAATAGTAAACAACTAACAGTGCAGTGCAAAACAGTTGCAGTGACCAAATTTGTAGCCTGTACCCACTCTGATTTTAGTAAATAAACAGAGAGTTAAGCAGTGAGAAAGAAGAAAACAGTACATCTGAGTCACAGGTTTGAAACAGAGAGTGGTTTAATCACTACACCATTTGAAGACAGTGAACTCCTGCAGATGATGAGCAAATCAAAGGGTCCCCAAACAACTCATTTGGTTGAGGTAATTTTACCTGCAGTGATGTTCCTAAGAGACTTCATTTATCAGCTTATTATCCCTTCATTATTCACTTATGCATGCAAATAATCTCTGCTGCAGCTAAGCCTTCACAGCTGAGCTGCACAGACACTGCACTCAGCACTTCTGAGTGTACCATCTGCAGTTACTCTGGCATTGAAATAAATCCATCCTAAGATTTTAGAGTTATCCTTGGAATATTCCAGAGCAGAACGTGCATTTACTGTCATAACAGCCAGGAAGCTTTGCTGGTAAAGCAGCATAATGTGATTCCCACCCGGGGGTGCACAGCTTCTCTCAGGGCCTTGACATGTTACATCCTTGAGGATACAGAGATCTCCTGTCCTTCTTGGCTCTTCAGAGGTCATTGCAATGTGTAAACCTGAGGCAGCTGCCAAGTAGAACAGTCACAGACTCAGAGAATATCCTGATCTGGAAGGACCCATAAGGATCATCATTCCAACTCCAGGCCCTGCCCAGGACACCCCAAAAAATCCACCCTGTGCCTGAGAGCATCATCCAAACACTCCTGGAGCTCTGTCAGCCTTGGGGCTGTGACCACTGCCCTGGGGAGCTGTTCAGTGCCCAAACACCTCTGGGAGAAGAACCTTCTCCTGATCTTCAACCTAACCCTGTTCCAGTGCCCAAACACTTCTGGGGGAAGAACCTTTCTCTAATATCCAACCTAAACCTCTCCTGACACAACTTCAGGCCGTTCCTGGGTCCTGTCACTGGTCCCAGAGAGCAGAGGTCAGTGCTGTCCCTGCACTGCCCCTTGGGAGGGAGCTGTATCCAGTGATGAAGTCTGTCCTCAGTCAGCTCTTCTCCAGGCTGAACAGACCAAGTGAACTCAGCCACTCCTCTTATGGCTTCCTCTCAAGGCCTTTCACCATCTTCATGTCCCTCTTTTGGACACTAATAGCTTTATATCTTTCTTGCATTGTGGTGCCCAAACTGTCCCCAGGGCTCGAGGTTAGGCTGCCCCAGTACTGAGCAGAGCAGGACAATCACCTCCCCTAACCAGTGGCAATGCTGTACCTGATGCCTCCAGGACACAATGTCCCTCCTGCTGCCAGGGCACTGCTGGATCATATTCAACTTGCCCTTGACCAGGATCATCTCCTAACACAGAGTCACTCTGCAGCTTCCCTTGAGCCCCTTCAGATCCTGGCAGGAGCTCTGAGGTCTCCACACAACCGTCTCTTCCCCAGGCTGAACAGCCCCAACCCTCTCAGCCTGTGCTCACAGGGAAGGTGCTCCAGTCTCTGATCAGCTTTGTGATCTCCTCTGGACTTGCTCCAACAGTTCCATGTCCTTCTTATGTTGAGGACACCAGAACTGTGTGCAGCATTCCAGGTGGGGCCTCACAGAGCAGAGCAGAGAGGGAGAATCACCTCCCTTGACCTGCTGCCCAAACTCCTGTGGATGCAGCTTGAGATGTTTATAGCTCAGAAGCCCAAGAAAAACTGAATGAGTCAATTTGCTTTTAAATACAATCCTATTTATTACAAGTAAAGTTCCACAAGCATTTTAAGGACATGTTAATTCGGATGTTATTTTTAAAGCCAGAACTGCACCACTTTAAACCACCACAACAGAATATCAAGCAACAATTGCATCATGCCTCTGCTGCTCCTCCTCAGGTAAAAAAATGCATAATATTCCAAGGGAAATAGTTAATGGAAGTATCACATTGAGACTTTGCTTTTAGTAAACTAAGTACATTTTGCAAACAGCAATAAATCTTTTAGCTCATGCACAGCTCTGACATGGAAAATCTAAACTCCTCATAGTGTAACCACGAGCTTCTGTTGCCATGATGAGGTCCACAGTTCTCCTAGCAAGGTCAAGCACAGACATAGCTCTTAGCTTTAAAGGTGAAAGCCTCACGTACTGCACTAGCTCTCAGTGAAATTAAGATGCTAAGATACATTGACCTTCCAGAGACAGATTTACCTAACCTCTAATCACACCCAAAGGTGGTAGATGGAAAAGTAATTCAAATGAGAAAAACACAAGAACTTCATCTTTCAAACATGTTAAATTAACCAATGAGCCATTTCAGGGGCAGAAGAGATTCTTTCCTGCAAGCAACAAAGGGTTTTATTCAGCTAAAATGTGCAAAGAGAAAAGTCTCAAAGTGAGAGGAATATCCCCAATTCATGTTGGATATGAGGGAATGAAAGCCTTAGGAATTAACTCCTTCAATTTTTTTTCTTGTCACCAGGTGCTGTGGATCTGTTTGCAGCAGTTCTAGGTTCGATGCCGTTGCACTCAACCTGCAAATAACGGACAGTGACATCAATGGGATGTCCAAATAAAGGACTTCACACCCAAAACAGCAACAGCTGGAGACAAAAATGGCTCTTAGAAGGAAGGGCAGGGCAGGTCTGTGAAGAAATCTGCAGTAGGAACCACTGGGTTGAGTCTGTGTAGACTTACAGGTGATTCAGGGGAGAGTGAGGGCAGAGACAACACCTACAAATCTTTGGGTTTGGTAGAGTCAAATAATAAATGCTCAGTTTACACACACTAAACATCTTCCCCCATCACAGGGCTGAACAGTGATTGTTCTTCCATTTCTACTTCAAACTCCAGTGTGACTTACCAAATATTTGACTTAAGAACAACCAGCCACTGAAAAATATCAGTTAACTAAGCTGTTTCAGAATCAGGAGCAATTCCTGTCCTCACAGGACCAGAAGCAGCCTTGAAACAACTATTTCTAGCTGCCTCAGTAGTGGCAACTCCTGTTCACAAGAAAACAGCCACAAAAAGGTCTGTAAAAACACCTGATCTCACTGTTCTGTGGTGCCCACCCTGACCCACTCCTGGGTGCCCCACCCAGACCTCCCCTGTTCAGACAAGGGAAGGAATCTTACTTTGTGGCTCCCAGAGTCATCCTCCTGGCTCCTCTTCAGGGCTGAAGGTGCCTTTGGATCCCCAGTGGTGCCTCCCTGACCTTGTTTCATGTCTGTTGTCTCTTGCAGAGCCTTCTTGGGCCACACACGCTTGAGCAGAGGAGCAATGATAGGGTAGAGATAAGGCTCCAGGAACTTCTTGTAGACCCAGAGGAGGACGGGGATGACAATGCAGGGAATGCACACCATGGTGTCCTGTGAGGGAGAACAGCTCAGGGTGAGTGTCTGTGTGCCACGAGCTAAGGAAACAGTGTTCAAACACTCAGCAAAGGCTGCGGTTGGTATTCGAACACCTTAGATTCTTTAGCTATGGATTAGCTGTTAAAGTTACAAAAATGTGTTTCAACATCCCTAACAAGAAGAACATTCGTGACATTTTAACCAAAAGAAAAAAAAAAAAGATTTGCTATTAATTCCTCAGTTCTAGAGCTGCAACTTGGAATAAAAAAACCAGGAAATAAGAGTTTTTGCTTAAACCACACAGAAGGTTTAAGCATCAAGCTGCAGGAATCAGCTCAGCTCTTGGTCCATTACATGTCCAAAAGTTTTGTGTTAATTATCACCTTCTTATTTAAGGAGAATTAAACAGCAGAAGTCCAGTCCACCCAGTGAGCTGTTACCACTGACAGCCAGGACGGTGGGAGGAGGGGAGAGAATCCCAGTCAGGGTTTCAGAGAGAAAAGTATGGATTACTTCCTTCCTCCTGCACCAATCCCACAGAACTGACCAGTCTGCTGTATGATTAATCCTTCCCTCTCCCAAACCCAGGGAGAAGCCTTCAAAAACACCAGCCTGGAGCCTGTGCAAAAACCAAAGC